CTGGAACACAAGTCATATGAGGAGCGGCTGAGGGAACTGGGGTTATTTAGTCTGGAGAAGAGGAGGCTGAGGGGAGACCCGATCACCCTCTACAACTACCTGAAAGGAGGCTGTAGTGAGCTGGGGGTCTCTTCTCCCTGGTAACAGATGATAGGACAAGGGGGAATGGTTTGAAGCTGCGCCAGGGCATGTTTAGGCTAGGCATTAGGAAAAACTTCTTCACCGAAAGGGTTGTCAGGCTCTGGAATGGGCTGCCCAGGGAGGTGGTCGAGTCCTCATCCCTGGAGGTATTTAAAAGAAGGATAGATGAGGTGCTTAGGGACATGGTTTAGTGGTGGGATGGCAGGGTTAGGTTAAAGGTTGGACTCGATCTCAAAGGTCTTTTCCAACCAAAGTGATTCTATGATTCTATGATTCTATCCCACTGAGGGAGGAGGGGACTGAGCGAGCATCTGTGTAGTGTTCAGCTGCCTGCTGGGTTAAACCACGACAGCAACACAGCAATATAACTCACTTCAGCATTTTCACAAATACAGGAGTAGCTTCCTGTTTACAGTGGAAGATGGGGTGAGAGGGCACTTAAACTTTTGGCTTCCTTCCCAAAAGAAACAAGACTTGTACAACTGTGTTGGCTCTGTGTACTACTCATTAATAGCTTTACAACTCATTGTCTGGTTTTAGCTTAGTATGAGTGATGAGTATTTACTTCAGAAATTCATGGAAGCACATTGTTGGCTAGAGAGGACAGCCTCTACAAGTATTCCGTGAATCATTGCATGCTCTTTCTCAGCTCTTCTACCAGATACCATAGAATGTTTGAAGGAGAAAGACCTTTATGTATGTTTCAGAAAGGGAAACAAACTTAGGAGTTCAAGCCTCCTTAGAAGTCAGAACTGATCCATCACAAGTTACAAAGCCCAGGATGCATCCTGAAGAACTACATCATTCATTTAGTATATCCTTCTCTTTGACATATCACTGAAACCTTTCTAAGAGTCAATCTTTCTCTTAAAGGAAGCCACTGTGATCACCTGTAGGAACAAGCCATCTGTTCTTACTGTAGCATGCCTTTTTTGTTTTCATCCCTCCATCTCCATCTATTGTTCTGCATTTCTCTAAAGGCCCCTATGAATTTTGTCCTTGTTTTAATCTTATAATCAGGCAAACTGGAGGGAGGGACTTTGAATAGAGGAGATCTAAGAAAGATGAAAGTGCTTTCAAAATTGCCAGGTTTTTGCCTTCTATTGCAAATCTTGAAGTCACTGACCTGCTTTGAAGATGGCACAGCTCATTCCTCTTGTGTGCCCTAGTTTGGATCTGTGAAATTTAAGCATTAGAAGATTCATCCCTCCATCATATAGTGCAATATGTCTGTAGAGCTCTTTCAGGTCTAGAAAGAGTCATAGATGGTGCAGTGAATTAATAGCTGCAGAAGCTTGATGGCAGACATCATGGGAATAGCTTAATGAATTCACATTTTTAAGTCTTTTAATCTTCATCCTCAGAGGCCCTCTTGCTTTCTAGCAAAGCTTACTTTTGGTTTAATGTGCAAGAAATAATTGCGCTTGATAGAGGATTTTCAACCACTGTATAACCTGTCAGGTTTGTTTCTGTCACCAGTTTGCTGCTGCTGCTTTTGGCTAGTTTTCCATTGAGTGTTCTGTAAAGGATTACAAACCTGGTTTGTTTTTAAAGATGGAGGAGTAGAGGGTTCTGGGATGCTGGTAAGAGCACCTGAGGTTTTGTCTTCTTGTTCTGTCTTCTTGGGGCCTTATCCTGAAGCAGTAATTGTGCCTGTCCCTTATCCTGTGACTTTAATTATTTGGATTTTTTCTAGCACTGCCCACATAATGTGTTTTTCTTGCTGAGATGCAGGCCAGGCAGGTAGTGGGGTGTATGTGTGTGTGGTGTGTGTGTGTTTTCAAACCAAGCTCTTTTTCCAAAATCCAAGGCTCTAATTAATTATTTCCAGTGCCTCAATCTAATGGTGGCCAGAGTGGAGGAGAGAGACCCCATCCTTTTTCCATAATGAAGAGCTTTCTATTTATTTCTGTAGGTATTGGGAAGGGGAAGCATGTGTTTGTGAGTCTTAAATGTTGAGCTACAGCAAATCTCTTGATGGGCGAAAGAAAGACATGAGGAACTTCTTACCCTTCTGAAGCATTTGTGCTATATGCTCTGGACAAAGCTTTCATTAACTGGCATCTAGATAAGTAGGAGACAGACCTAGCTAAGTGGAAAATAAAACCTTCTATTTCTAGCAGGACACTGCTCTTCTTGAAATCAGCAATTCGGAATTCTGTGCACAGTGTCCCCTTTCCATACTCGAGCTCCAGCAACAATTGCTGCTGGACCAGACTTTGAGGGGGTACTATTTAGCACTTACCTTGTGTCTGAGTTCACTAGCAGCTTTTCTTTTCCAATAAAGTTTATAGCTTAGCATAGTCTCAGTTGGTTTATAAATACTTAACGCCTGTCTGTGTGAAGCCTGTAGTGGAAGACTGTGGCTTGGTGGGGAGCTGTGGATAAGAGATTCCTGTTGTCATACTTTAAAATAACACAGCAGTAACACAAAGTAAAAATACCTGTTACCACTGTGCAAGAATGCCCACTAGCTCTAGTCCCCAGACAGCAAATATCTATCACTCTGTAGTGGGTAGTTTGCCTGTTGAGTTTCACTCAAGTGCAAGGTGACCTGTGAATGCATGTGGACATTTGTCCCTTTTCTCTGTGTCAGTGAGTACTGTCATCTCAGTTATTTGTGAAAGTGTGCTACTGCATAATACCTCTGAGTGGCAATCACACAAAAAAGGTCCTTACTGAAGAGCTCCAGTCTTCTGGTTATGTCTGAAGTGCCTGATTTTGTTCTTTTTGGTCTTTTTCAAAAGAATGTCCTAAACTGCTAGTTTTACCTTGTGCAGTTTTGCTTTGCTTCCAGAGAGGGTCTTTCCATGTGGATTTTGAGTATTTAGGAATAGAAAGTTAGTTCTCACTGTCGTTTAAATGTGTTCTACCAGATCTTCTTTCTCACTGTGCTGGTGGCTGCTGTCACCATGTTTACTGTAATTGGGAGAAGCACTGTAGCGATGCTTTCTTTACAAAACAGGAGACAATGTGAAGGTTGGTACAGTTGGATCCATCTGAGCTGTCACTGGGGAGCCTGCTAGCCTTCTCTGGCTTTTGGAAAGCAGAACTGATAGGCGTTTTTTTGCTGGTTTTTTTTTTTTTATTGCCCTAAGAACATGGTGCTACAAGTAAGAACAGCAACAGAGTTTCTTAAGATACAACCTGTGAACCATTCATTTTGAATTGATATGTCATAGCAGGCTTTGTCCACCTGTTTAAAACTTGCCTGTGATATCTCTTCTCAGTGGATTTTTCTTCTGTTAATTTGTCCTTTGTTGGTTTTTTTTGTGATTCGTAGCATTTTCCCTTTTCTCTCTCTCTTCCCCTCCCACCCCCAGCCTGAATACCCTTAGTCTGTTCAAACATTCCTTGTACTGAAACCATTTCTCTTCCATAAATGAGCCCATACTTCAGTGACTTATGGAGAATATTCAAAGCAAGATCCTCAGGCTGACAGGAGGAAAAATTTGATATTACTGAGCAAAGCATAACTTTTGCTGCCTAGCAAGACATAAGCTGCTTTTCTCTGGTTGTGAGCAAACCTGGAAGTCTTTGTGGCATGGTTGCTCTTGCAAATCATGGGTTTGAGACTACTGTCACAGATGTTTTGGTTTTTTGGTGTATTTTTTCCTCAGATCCACTGCAGTGACTGATGTGAGGAATAAGATGACAAGTAGGAGTAACTGGTGCGTGGTATCTAGTTATGATAGGTAACGTAAGCAGGAAACTGTCATGTTGTCCCATTTCCCCTGTTTCTTGAGATAAAGGTTAAATTATTAATTGTTGCTATAGAGTTCTTATTACTATCTTGTAATAGGAAAAATACATCAGCTTTGATATCTGAAGTCTTTGAATGCTTTGAAACACGTTTCCCTCCAGAAGTTCTCTTGTGATTAGTGTGTTTAGTGTGAGTGTGTGGCAAAACTACTCTACTTCCAAAACAGAAAACAATGCAAAAGGCTGAGCTTACAGCCTGTAGCTCAGATTAGGTCAGTGCTAGAGCTAGGTTTAGATTCTCAAAATCTCTTCCCTTCCATATGAAATTAAGCCACTCTTTTTCTGCAATAACAGCTCTGAGTGAGTGAATAAAATGTCTACTGCTATTTGCTGTTAATATCTTCTTGGAGTATCCAAAGGTAAATGGTGCCAGACAGTGTTCTTAATTGTAAGTATTCATCCTGCTTATAGACAGAAGGTGTCTGCTTAGTCAAATACTCATCTTTCTTTTGCTAAAGAAGAAAACTTGCAGTATTTCCAGCACTTTTTAGAGTTAATGTTTTGTAGGGTAACAAACTAACCTTCTTGGCCTGCATAAGAAGATTGACTGTTGCCAACTCATATGTCAGAGCTTTAGTGAATGTACAAAACTTCTAGATAAGAATGTTAAAACTTCACAAGATGACTTATGGGTCAGATGAAAAAAACAGTAGCTACCTTATCTGGAACTCTTCCATCATCTGATGCGAACACCCCCATCCTTGTGAAAAATGTCAAGAGATTCTTAGTAGGTCTTAAGTAGCAGGCTTTTGTATGTGTTTGTTTTTATAAATGTTCAGCGGCTTAAATCCCCTTCTTTCTAATCCCAGTATTTTATGCAGCACCTGCATTAAAATAGGAAGATTTCTTAAGTAAACATGAACTCAGCCTAATCCTTCTTGGCTGACTAAACCTGTCATACCGATCTTCCAGCCCCTCTGAAGGTGGGTGCCTCGTCTTTATGTGTGAAAAGGATGTGAGAGAGAAAATACTGTCTGAGAATGAAATCGGATATATAGCTTAATCAGCATACCACACTAACAAATATCATTTCAGGTAGAAGCTTTGGTGAAGTCTACGCTGAGTCTGCATGGGAAGATTGACTTCCTGGTGAATAATGGAGGGGGCCAATTCTTAAGTTTTTCTAAATCCATCTCTGCAAAAGGCTGGAATGCTGTGATAGACACAAATCTGACAGGGACGTTCTACTGCTGCAAAGCAGGTAAGGACTGAACATTAAGCTTTTTTGTTTATTTGTTTTGGTTTTTACAGCAATACCAGAAGACAAGAAATGTAAAGTTTCCCTACCTTCTTTTTTCACACACTTATCTGACAGTGGATATTTGTTTTCATGAATCTCATCCAAAGCTTTACATAAAACTGTACATTATATTTGTTCATATGTACAAAGATACATTTAGGCAAGTATGATCTTCTGCTTAAGGCCAGGTTTGAGTAGCCAGTTGGCTTGGATACTCGCTTAAAAGACTATAGGAAAACCACTTAACTTCTGTGGCCTGTATTCACTGCAACACAGGAAAAGATCTCTTTCCCATCAGGGATGTAAATTTAAAGTTAAATTTAAGTATGATACATGATTCTCAGGTAGCATCAGGAATGTGGAAATGAAATAAGTTTACATGGGAGCATGAAATCTTGATTTCCACCAAAAGGCTTCTTGACAAACATTGAACCTTACCTGGACCACACCTGTTATCTCTCCAATCCAGTGGTGAGGCTATGGTACAGAGCAGACTGTTTATCTAAATCTGCACAGGAAATGTGTAGTGTAGTTGGAGTTAAGACTCCAAATTTGGCTTCCAGTTGGCAAGTTAGTTTGTATGCATTTCTTCTGAAATTTATAGGTTATCTTCCTCCTTCATACAGTGTACAATGCCTGGATGCACGAACATGGAGGAGTCATTGTCAACATTACTGCTGCCGTGAGAAATGGGGTTCCTGGAATATCGTAATATATATTTTATTTTTACATTTTCTTATATTTTTCCCCTAGAAGTACTAATTACTTCTAAATACTTCATCTTAGAAAGGTGTGCACTGGGCAGCCACAGGGCATAGAAATACAGTTGTTGCGTCAAGAGAGCGCAATAGTATCTCTTGGCTGTATGCGTGCAGATCTCTTACTAATTCAGTAGAGACTACAGGACTAAAGGACATCTCTGTTCTGTGTCAATTTGTCTGTAAGAAACTATGAAGCAAGACTTGCCAGTGAAGGTTTCACTGGAAATGGTATGCTAGTGGGACTAGTTGCACTGAAATATAACCTTTACTTGTTCTCTCTCCAAATTTCTGGAGGGCTTGCAAGAACTTGGCACCTGTTGTTTTCATTTTCTACTGTCAGTTTACAGGTCTTGATGGTGTAATGACTTATGGGAGTTGGGCTGGGAGTAGGGAATTAGGAGGAACATTTCTGGTGTGTTACCAGGTTTTGGCTTTGTCCTTCAGGTGCATGCCTTTTCCATTTTCCGTTTTACTCTCACTTTGTAGCCATCTTCCTTGGAGAAGGTCTCTGATGCAGAGAATCAGTTCTATTTGCTCTGCTCCTTTCTTGACGGGGAGAAGGCTCATGAGTACAAACATATTACCACGTTTGTAGTTCTTTTATACTGATACAAATGATCACAGTTGTCTGCATGAAAATGCAGCATCCTCTCCATATCCATATGTGTACTATATTTGCTCAAGTTTCTTTACCCTCAAATGGGGGTGAGCAAGGGTCTTCCACTTTGAAACTTTGCTACCAAAAAAATTCCGATTTGTTGGAAGAGCAGTAATGCTCAGAAAATGAATTGTTTCAGTTATTTTCTTTTCAAAGGAAATTTCGAAGTTGTCAAAATTATGTATTTTGTCAGTTTCTTAATTAAAAAAAAATCTGAATTTCTTCTTTGAAACTATCTCTTTTTAACTTTGCAATTGAATTTCTATTGAAGAAAATACAAAAATATAATTTGAGCAAATGTTACATTACCTCTATTTGTCCTGATTCAGTGTTGAAAGCTTTAAAAATTTAAAATTTTTAAGGAACAGCACAATATTTTCTCACTAGCTTGTTCTTGGCACTCCAAAATAAATTTAGAGATCCACAGGGTGGTGCTGAAGCAACACTTACTTGAGTTGCTCCACTCTGGTTAAGTCTGGTTGAATAGTCAGGGCAAATAGGCTGAAACTATATTTGAGAGTTGAACAAAGAGATAAAAAACCTAATACTGAATAACAGCGGAAAAAAGTTCCCCAAATAACTGTTGTGTGTGGATGTAGATGGATAGAAAAACCTCCTTTCAAATTAAATTCCTTTTGAATTGATACTTGTTTTAGAAATGTACTATTGAAAAAGACTTGTTTTTACAAGCCCAGCCACCACTCATGCCAAAAGTCACCTGATACAGTTTTTTGTAAGTATTAATTTTGAACAAAAAATTAGTCAAGTTAGTTTGCTTATAGTGTGCCTAGAGTTTATTTATTTCTGGCCTAAACATATTAATATATTGGATTTTCTTCTTTTTTTCTTAAGTTTTTCTTATTCCTTTCCTGGTATTTGAGAAGCTATTGTTATCTATTTCCTCTGAGTCTGTTTTGCTAGGCTAAAGGAACTAAACTCTATTAGTTTTCTCTGAGTCCCACTGTCCACTATTTATCACTGCAGTAATTTTGTCTGCATTTGTTCAAGCTTGTAATCATTTCAGACTCGTTTCGTATAGCAGCAAGGTGTATGAGATCACTCTGCCTATGGTTGTCTCTATCTCCATCCACCTATAGTCATTTTTGCATAGTGGCTTATTTTAATCATGTTTGTCAGAAGATCTAAACTGTTTATCAGACCACTGTCCTTCCAAGTGTTAGTTTACCTGTGCAGCCTACCTTTCGTAGTTTTACACGATTTGAACTCTGCTTCCAGTTGTTTTTCATTTTATAAGCCTGCTTCTGCAGTAGAATGTAGCTGACCTCATGTCACCTTGGCAAAGAGATGCTAAGTATTTCCAGAAATGACAGGAAATCATAGTGTAGATTGTTTAAACTGTGAAGCTACGGTCAAACTTACAAACTAGAAACTCTCTTTCTCAGATGGATGGTCCAGCCATAGAAAGCTACTCTTACTACCGTAGTGAGACTGCGGTAGAGTTAACATTGGGCACTGTTAGCTGAGGGAACAGATGCTTCTTTTGCTTTCTTTTCTCAATAGGCATTCAGCAGCTGCAAGAGCTGCAGTGCATAACCTCACCAAGACGTTAGCTTTAGAATGGGCCCACAGCGGAGTTAGAATCAACAGCATTGCTCCTGTAAGTAATGGCAAATGATCTGATTAAACTTAGCCATCGTGCATGTTCATGGTTAAAACTTTCATGTTAGGGATTTTAAAATCTATAGCTTGTAGCTGTTTGTGGATTATTTATGTATTTGTTTATTTAAAATTCCCTCATCCACATTCTTCAGGTCATTTAAGAGTGTTTTGTATGGTTTGGATGACAAGCCAGAGATGTGGGATAACATTACATAACATTACATGACATAAAATTACCAAATGCTTTGTTTCAGTAATGATTACATTATTTCTGAGTTCACAAAACATTTTCTGTTTCAGGTTCAGGTATGATGATGGTTTCCACCCATGTTTACAAAGTTATTTTGAAAATCTCTGAATGTGTCATATAATGTCTTTTACTTTATCTTCTACATGTTAAGTTAGATTAGTTTTAGGCATAAAAAGACTGTATTTGGAGTGGACCTTCTCTCAAAGAAATTGTATATAAAAATGCGTGTTCTCATTTTTTTCTTATCAAATATACGCAGACAGGAAACCACTATACAGGTCAGCTAAAATATGCTGCCACATTTCTGAGGAAGTAGGTAGCGTGTAGCAATTGTTTTAAATAACTGTATGGAAAGAGAAGCTATACTTTCTAGTGCATGGCGCTGCAGATATAGAGGTTGTATCGAAGCCCTAGCTTTGACATTTAAGATTGTGCAATCTTTGAGATCTGTGTAATCTTCACTCTTAACCACAATTTATTTCGCACTTTACTCCCTTGAAAACAAAAGAGGAAAGGTAAACTTTGTCCAGCTACTTCTACATTCAGAATTTATCTTATCTCACAGTACAATTAAGTGTCAGATTTGTTTAACTGGTCCCTAGGAAGATCTTTCTACTGTCTTTGTAGGATGTCTGTATATCCTGTTGTGCCTCTTGTCCTTGAACAACTGACTCGCTTTCTTTGGCATAGCACAGAACGCTTAATGGCAGCTGTGTGATTGATCATTCAGGTAGTGGTTCTTACCTAGACTCTGTGAGGCCCAACTAATCTGGAAACTTGTTAAATATTAAGATCTTCTGGCTTATTTTTCCTGTTTTGCTTTTTTTTTTCTGATTTATCAAGTCTTGAGGAAGTAAGTAATTAAGACAGCATTATTATGTGAATATATTTTTCAGGCATGCTAATTACCTAAGGAATCATCCTAGTTATACTTCATGGCACATGTAAAAAAAATTTTTGACAAGCAAACACTTCAGTGGTTTGGCTTTTTCAGAAGTATTTCCTAGCTTTGTTACTATGCTGGTAAGAAAAATCCATATCATAGTTACAGTAATACTTTATATCCTTCTGTCACCGCTATGGACGCACCAGGTCTGTGGTGGCCGTACAAAACTGTTACTGCTTAGAGGAGCAGAGTAACATGCAGGGAATAGGTACATAGAGAGGGAAACATGCATTCTAAAAAAATAGTTTCACATACAAGTTACTTCTCTAGCTCCCAAAATAGTCATTCACATTTCATAGATATCTTAGAAGAGAAATCCTAGCATGTACCCCATGGATTAATTCAAGTGTTACTATCTTACTTAAACTTGAGTCCCAAAGGTTCTGTCATAACTAATCTACATAACCTTGTGTTCCCATGCTGTACCTTTCATCTTCCCTCTCAAGTCTAAACTGGACTCCATAATCATCAGAGCAAAGACAGTCACCTTTTTCTATTTCTATAGCGCCTAAGTAGGGGGAGTCTGAATTCTGACTGTGAAATCTGCCTGCTTCCATAATTCACAATAAAATCAATCTAGTGTCCTTACAGGTTACAAGAAACTGTAGAGAACTTGCTCTTGGGGCTTTGCAGTTTTCCACTGTAAGCTGATACAAAATGCTTGTACTTTCAAAACAGTCTTTTAGTTTCTTCTTTATACTCTGCACTTTATAGCTATTGAAGTGACAGTGGAGAATTGGAATAATCTGAATTACTGCACTTGAATAGAGATGTGGCTAGGAGCCAAATCACCTTCTTGTATAAATTTTTCTATTCCATTAAATCTAAAAACTTGCATTCAAGTGCTGTTTAGATAGTTTAATCCCACAGAAAATCCCAGTAATGACAACTCCACAATTTTACAACAATCACAATTTAAACATATGCAAGAAAACTTAATTTTCACTGTGCTGTTTTAAAATAGGGAATGGTGTTTTCAGAAACTGCTGTTGCAAACTATGGAGAATCAGGTATAAAGATGTGGTTAAAGACCATACCAGCGGTTCCTGCCAAGAGGTCAGCGGTTCCTGAGGAGGTAATGTGATATTTCTACTTCTGTGTCTCTATTTTGAAGCTACTTTATTATATGGAGAACAAAAAAGACTTCTTTTTGCACTGTGATGGAATATTAAAAAAGAAAAAAGCTTGTAGTAATGTGTAGTAGTGCCAAGTGGGAGACTTAACCAGTAGTCACCGTTACACTGAAAATTTGATTTGGATGCCTCTTACAGCTGCAGTGTCTCATAGCAGACATTGGTTCCTGAAAAGGTTGACTTCCTGCAGGGAGGACTGAAAGAATGACTATTAATGTGAAAAAAGTGTATCTTAAAAGTACTTAGCTCTCTTCCACCAAGGATGTGCATCTTTGACAAACTGGCCAATTTTTTTGCTTGATTTTCAGCATCTGATGCTGATCTTCGAGAGCTTACTGTTTTTCATCTGTTACATACTTGATGTTTGTGGGTGGGAAGATGGCTTTAAGACTGTTACGGTTTTCATTACTGCGTACAAAACATTGCTATGTCTTGCCTGTAAAAGCTTTTACAAGCATCTTTGACATGAACAATTCCTAGCAGTTTAAGGAAGATTTAAATTGTCATTATTTTGTTAGATCTCGCCTGTAGTGTGTTTCCTGCTGTCTCCAGCTGCTTCTTACATAACTGGGATAACCATGGCCGTGGATGGTGGCCTAAGTTTAAATGGCCGTATCCTGGATCTACCTGGTAAGAAATGGGCTACAAAGTAATGCCCTTCAGGTGACTGAAGTTGGGCAATGGGAGGACGCAGAAGTAAAATGCCTAGTTTTTCAGTCAACTAAATATGTTGTTTTATTTGTTTTCCTCAGATCACGACAGATGGCCCTCACTTCCAGAAGGAAAAAATTCTGAAATGTTTAAAAAGCTTATTGCTGGCACGTTCAAGCCAAGCCTGTAAAAGAATGAGATTTCACCTTATTCCCAATTGCACACTTGCTGATAATCTTGCTCTGTGATTTGGGCGTATTATTCTCAGCAATATAATTTTTTTGCTTATATGTAACTACACTGAGTGCCTTGATTTTCACTGGTTTATATTTAAAACTGGAAAGGCTGTACATAGTAAATTCCTTCTCTGAAAGCAATCACTGCCCTGAGAACATTCAGTCTCTTGGAAAGGGAAGGTATAAAAGACAAATTTGCCATTTACACAGGCATTAACTAATAAAGAATGTCAGTCAGAAGTGAATAAAAAAATACTCATTTTGAAGTGAAGGGGGCAGAGAGGGAATGTTTTGGAATCCTATTCTGGATGAATTTGCAGAGAAGGTAATCTAAATCTCTGTTACCATTAGTTGCATCAGTAACCCTCGAGGTAGCTGTTAGCTCTACACTATTTCTACTCAGCCACACACTGAGTGTTCAACAATGATTTTAAAGACTAAGTAGTGTAGGTATTTCTCTGAAAAGAATTTAAAATAAGGCAGGATACTGTTACTAATGTTTCAGGCTAACATGGCGTATCATATTGGGAATGTTTTGAATTGTTTGTAGATATGACATAACGGAGTTAAGCTGGCTGCAACTTAAATTTTATAATAGAAGAATAATCAGATAATAAACTTAAGCTTTAACATACAGTGATGGAAAAAAGTATAGATTCAACAATTTACCATGGAAAATCTTGAAGCAAAAGCTGTGGTATATATTGCAGTGCTTTCTGCAGTATGCTGTACTGTTAAAGGAGAAACTTGGAATCCTTCATTTACCAGCTAAAATGCTTTCTATCCATACTGTGTTTTCTTACAATGTTAACACAATTTTGTTCATCAGTGTCTCCAAAATAGGTGTGGCTTTTGTGATCAATGAAGAGATTCCATTTAAAAAACAGAAAAAAACCCCAACAACTTACAATATATCGCTCAAAGAGGCCGTATTTGTAGTTACTCGCTTTCTTAAATTCACTTCAAGGCAACTGTTCCCGTGTCTGATAACTTCAATCAAAATATAAAAAATAAGTGATGACTGTGTTTGCTGTAACAACTGAAATTTGTGGAATCAAGTTGCTGCTATAGAAGCAACCTCTCTAATACTTCATTTGGAATTGAATGTAAGAGTCTCTGCCAGTTGTTTGTTCTCTGCAAAGATGTTTGACTTTTGTGTCCTTCATTAAAATGTGGGAACTTACACAGGTACGTGTAGATTGCTTTTTCATTAAAATCTGAATGCCAGTTTTGTGTGGGAGGAGGGGTTTCAGCCAAAATGCTTTCTCCTTCTGACACATCCTCTTTCCTTAGTAACTGGGTGGTCATTTATGTGGTTGTGAGAAACTTGTACAGAGATAAAATCAGCCTTTTTCAAAACTCTTGTGCAAGGTATATTTTGAGTATTTGCAAATATTAGTTCAGGGTACACAGCAAGAGAATTCCTGAAAGCAAATGCGCCTGTCAGATAACTAACTCTAGAAGCCTAGCCCATTGCATTTAAGTGAAATTACTCAGTTTGTTAAGAGATTATTTCTACATTCTTAACATCTTTCTGTAAAAGAGGGTTAAACATGAACAGGCTTGAGACTTGTGGAATTTACTTTCTCTTCGTGTTTGACTGTGAGCTTCTATGATACGTGTGGACTGTAGATTTAATGTGAAATAGAAGTGATTTCATAAAACTAAATTACTTTTATTATATCCCAGAGCTGTTCTCTACAGGATTTGAACATAAACCCGGAAACAGTTATTTTACACTGTTGCAAATTTTCTTCAACTTTGCTGGAGTCTGAATATTCATAGAGAGGGGATGTTTATACATAGTAATAGTGAAATGCACCACTCATCTCAGTGAAATGGAACATTAGAAAGGTGAGTGTTCTCCTGTGTGGGAGACATGTTCAGCCTGCAATTAATAAACTTCCCACAAGTAAGAACTATAACAAACCTTTCCACTTGCACTGAATACAAGGAACTTTTATTTGACCTTGCCTTCTTCAACTTCAGCAAAGCAATGGATGCATTAAGATCTAAGCTAGTTCTTTAGAGGAGACTTGTTCCTGTGCACGCTTTTTTCCCTGGCAAGAAGTTGAAACAGCCAGCGTTTGTGGAGCCATAATGCGCTGCAGCTTGGTGCAACAGGAGAATATAGTCAGACTACTCTAGGGGTAAGTATGGTGTAAGAATACAGAAAATACATCCTTGAAAAGAGAAGGGGAAACATCAGTGTTCTCTGCTTTTTTTTCTCTTTCATTTTTTTTCAGTAATAATACTAACATCCCCATGTGTTGAGGCTTACTGTGCACAATATTAAAATGCTTATCACATTATTAGATATTAGGATAGTAACTCCTTTGCTGTAATGGTTTTGCAATGATCACAGCCTCTTTTTTTTTTTTTTTTTTTTTTTTTCCATTTTTTCTTCTTGCACCAGGGAGAACACGAAATGTTTAATTCTCAGAACAGAGGTTTTATTTTTGTTTTTTCCTCTTTGGTCCATTTTTATGCAGATTAAAATTATTTTAAAAGTTTTGCAGCGCTTTGCAGAAACCCAGTGTTGTGTCAGCTGGCAGCATGAATGTTTCAGGTTTCTGCTGTCAGTGCTGCAGATAGTATCAGCTGTAGCAAAGCTCTTCCTACACCCTCGTAACAACAGCCCTTGATCAAAGGGCATTGAGAGGTTAAAAAAAAGGGTGTGGTAACAAAAACATCCTTGACCTGTGTAAGATTTGGGTGTCTGAAGTTCAGAGAACGGGACTTGATTTTATTTGATTAATTTATTTTACAAGGGAGGTGAATGCAACTGTGGGAAAAGGGCTAAGGAACCTTAGGAGGAATCAAGGAGATTTATTGACCAAGCACTGAGACTTAAACATTTGCTGCACTGTATAGTTGTATAAGCAAAGAGAAGAATGTTAGCATGACAGTTACATTTACCTTTCTGTTAGAAACCCCTTTGCAGTTGCTTTAATATTTACCTCTGGCTAAACCTGTACCTATTCTGCCTACCCCTTATCAGATATTCATGTGGCTGATAAATAGGTGCCTATCAGCTGCTACTTTGCTCCACTGTAGAACTTTACATTTATGAAAGCAGTGTAGTTCCATGGAGGGGAATTTTTCTCAACTGTACTTGCCTTATGTTTTACAGATACTCTTTGTGTTAGGCAGAATATTGATTATTCGGGGTATTTGTTCAGTGTAAAATGAAGTTTGATTATTCAGGGGTTTTACTTAGAGTAAAATGAAGTCTGCGTTGTAAAAAAAAAATCTTCATTCTTTAAGGATTAACAGTTGTCATGTTTGCTGAAGGGAATATAGTCTGTGCAGTGTCATTCTGCAGTGAGGTCCGTTGTCTGCCTGAAGATGTGAATGAACAAATACGAGGCAACGGTTGCTTGTTACAAGCTTTTATGGCTATGGTCTTCTGAACAGTTGTGTAGAATATGATGTGTAATCTTTAAGAAAGCATGCTATTTGCCAGATAGCGTCACTTCATATACTTCTAATTGGCATCTCCTAGTTTACTCTTGCCATCTCAAACAGCAGACTTGTGTTAAATGGCTGAGTAATGTAGACATTAGGGAAATAATCCTATTAGTAAAGTCAACAGTGCCCATGTTCTGTATTACTGAATACAGCCGAGTCCTAAAGGTAAATGAGTTGTTTCATAAACTTCAGTGATGGGGCTGGAGCAGACAAATCTATCAGTACTGCTGCCCCGTCTCATTTATAGTGTGCTTTTTCTAGAGAAGCAACTCCGTACCTGAATGACTGCTGTGTTTTTCCCATACTTTGGTCTGTTTCAAGTATTATAGACAAGTCAGTTGCTGGCTGCTCTTTATTTATTTTGTTCTGGAGCTAAACTTGGGCAGTGGGAATGAGTCCTGAAATGCAGAATACCAAGTATGATGACAGATTCCAGTCTGGGAGTTGCTAGGGGGTGAGATGAAGCCTCTTATGAGTCTTCCAGCAGCGGTTAGGACTGTTGTCCCCAAGCTATTTGCTCTTCCTCTCTTTTGGCATCAGCCTGGCAGTGATGGTGCGTTTGTATTGGGAGGAACTGGAAATACTGAGATGCAGGCGTGTGTTTCCTTCTGTCATGGAAAGGCAGAGGAGTGTAGTAGACAGGTAGGATTAGCAAAGGCTTGAAATAATACTGTTGTTTGCTCAATGCATGCAAGCTGGATTTAAATTTATAAACAGAATTTGGCCCTCCTGCTGGTAAGGAAGGACTGCTGATCATGTTATAACATCCTGACATCACAAACTTTATGCTACTGCTGTTCCCAGAAGAAGCCATTTTGACTTCCCTTATCTGCTTTGTCTCCAGCAGCTTGTTCCTTTGCCAGTTAACCCCTCTTTTGATTAAAAATATATAAAAATAATCACTTATTTAAATACATTCTTTTCTGCATGTAGTTCAAAACATGGTAATATGGTGCTGGCTGTAGGAAGGAGTGGTGGGGAGGCAAAGAAACTTGGGGAGGAAAAGGAGGATGATGGCATGGCCACGAGAAGGGGCTGGTTCGTTCCCATTTACAGTGCTTAGAAGCTTCAGTGTTAATTAATACAGGCACTTGTTAGCCTGAAGCAATACGTCTAGAAGGTGAGAACCTCTTACTGCAATGAGGTATTGATTCTGGAATCCAGGGAGAGCCATACTGCCAGCTTTCAGTCAATTGCTTGAGTAGACTACATCCTAAGATGTGCTTACCTCGTAATTTCCGCCCCCGCTCCTCCCAGCTTCCATCCCTGTATAGGGCTTGCACTGAATGCATAAATAACTGATACGCTTTATTGCAACTTCTGTCGTCTGTTTTTATACTCTTCTTTTCCCTATCAGCAATTACACTGTTCCTATTAGCTTTATTTTGCTCCAGGAGCATGACATGTGATCTCAGAATCATGCCCCTGGGTTTGGGCTGAGCTCAGTGTGAGCCAGTGTCCTAAGTGCTGGGCCCTAGTATTGATAGGTATTTTTTAATCTCAAAGTCAATATTTAGCTGTTTATCCTGCTCCTCGTGGTGAAGACGCTCTGTTTTAGGGATTATGGCATAGTAGCGCTGACGGCTGTCAGGATGTACCTCACCTCTGCAAAGCACTCTTGGGATGGTGCTGATAGCAGCACAGCGAGCACGCTCTGTGCTGCACGGGCTTTGTGCAGAAATACGAAGGACCACACGGGCAGAGGAACGTGGGATGACTTTCCACAACCCTTCCTAGCTTCTTCTGTAGTGAAGGAACTCTGACTTCAAAACCTACTGTTCACTAACCCCTCCTCCATCAGTGAAATCCATTTGCAAGATGCTAAAACTGACAAATGGCCATGAACTGGAACATTAAGGCAAGGGAAACACTGGATGTGTTTTCAAAGCTGTGTAAGCAGCTGTGGGTCATTGATCTTGTTTGATGGTGCAGGAGCATCACACACCAGCGGCATTTTTCTTGGCTCTTTCCCCATCATTTGGCAGAAAAGGTCACCTCTTCAACTTTCTGGTTAAGGACTCTTGGTCGTGACAAGCCTCTCATGAACATGGCTGACAATTTTGCTGACTGGAGCAAAGTGTCTTAGCTTTTGAGGGACCACTACGTCTCCTTCACGTTGGCTCTGGAGTTCTTATTAATGGGTGTGATTCAGAGCCTTGTGCCTTTCTTGGATACGCTTCCTCAGCTGGTCTTGCTTTAGCACAGCCCTCTTCAATCTGTTTTTTTTTTAAAAGATGACAATATTTGGTTTTATCATTTTCTGCAG